CAATTAGAAATTAGACTTCTACAACAATGCTAGTATTAAGTATAATATTAACAATACAACACCTGCTCAATTAGAAATTAGACTTCTACAACAATGCTAGTATTAAGTAAAATATTAACAATACACCACCTGCTCAATTAGAAATTAGACTTCTACAACAATGCTAGTATTTAATTAAAATATTAACAATACACCACCTGCTCAATTAGTATAATATTAACTAATTTAGATGAAACACTAAATACAACGACTGCTCTTTCAGTTACTTTACCAATGCAAGAATCCGCACCCAGTAAAGCACTATAATTATATGTATGTGGGCTAAACATTCATGTTCAGGTTTAGCATTCCCTAATTTTAAACTACTGACCACAGGGAAGGCAGCCATCCACATTGTCACACGAGTTTTGTTCGACTCTCTGAACCTAATAACGGGACTGTCACTTTTATAAAGCGCCCACAGCTGAAAGTACAGATCGTGTTCAGCGAAATCTGCATTCCGACACACTGATCACTAAGTCAAGCTAAGTCTACAATAAAATGAAGTCACATTTATCTAACTGCATGTCCTATGTATCGGAAATGTTAGGTAAAGTTTTACATCTAATCACATACCTAACTGAATGTGTACAGGTTGTTTAAATCCACTCATTCGGGTTTTGGAAAACCTTCAGTTAGCATCCCTTTGTTCATATACAGAATTAAACACCGAGCGAACACTTCACGCTCTTTCAATAAAAATTGTTGAAAAATGTCACCTTATAAAAGACTTCCACGCTACAGGAACTGCGCACTGATAAACGTGCTGCGATGGAACTCCACAAGTGAAGGAGGAAGATCCCGTGTTTCGGCCGGCGCTAAATATATCTAACGTTTGAATAAAAATATAGGAAAAATAAAAACTTCAGATTAAAATTTATATTTCTGGAATCCCATAATCCGAGGTTTTATAAAAAAATACATACTGCAAAGTCATTCACCCCCACCCCACCCCCTAGTGAAAAATGCCACATTATTAGAAAGCACCAAGAGGAGGATAATGCTTAAGGTTTAAACGTATTGACAAACCAGGAGAACAACAATTAAAATAAAACAAATTAACATTTCGAGAAATACCTACAAAAGTTGTACGCGAAGTGAAAATACAAGGTTAGGAACAGCACCGACAATAGACATAATTTAGATACACGTCACATATTATTGGATTTGAATCTCAACGGAGTCAAGGCTTTACATTAATACAACACCATAATCAACTAGAAAAGTGTACTTTTACAGTTTCTACAGGTCTAAACAGCTGCTCACCATGCAAACTCTTGAAAATCATGACCTCAGTGGCAGATCTAGGGCACGCCACCTAACGTCTATTCGTGTCCCCCTTTTTTTTTGAACTGGAAGCACAATTAAATATATTTATGAAATTATTTTAACATTTACCTGGAAGTGGGCTAAACTTTTCCGTAGAGTTGAAACTTATACGTTGTACAAGTTGAAAAGTCAGCTCCCGATAATTCCGGACAGATTATGACTTGTAGATGGCGCGCTATTACGAGGTACGCAATTTCAAGCCAATCACAGTTCACTGAAGTATTCAGTCTAATACTGTTACAACCACGTGTGAAAATTGACGCCGATAAGACACGATGTTTCAATGATTGGATATTTGAAGATACTTGAGCTTACAACATATTTAATTTATATCTTATTAATATTTTAATTCGCATATTTATTAGAATCAGGGTTACTGATATACAAATTAGTTGATTTAAACAAGATACACGTTTCACGTAGCTCTGTGGGAAATTGAGTATTTCACATTTTATTGACAGATAACATGCAATATTATTTTACAAGTACTTTAAAATAACAGTAAAGCGTTAATTCGCAATTATTATCTACATAAATATAATGGTACTGTCTGTTGTATGTCGATGTAATTACTTCGTAAGGTGTGTATGGGTCTTCACCAAAATTGGTATGGATGTTCATTAGGTTCATACTGGAGTGCATACAAATTTTCAGTTTTTCGTTTTGTGGTTTTTATGGGCTTTTTTTTTTTCTTTAACCACTACTTCGCTCCCTGTAGATGTATATTAACCAGATTTGGCATGAAGGCTTGTTGGGTCTATGGGGACACACACACACAAATTTTCAGTTTTTCGTTTCGTGGTTTTTATGGGTTTTTTTTTAACCACTACTTCGCTCCCTGTAGATGTATATTAACCAGATTTGGCATGAAGGCTTGTTGGGTCTATGGGGACACACACACAAATTTTCAGTTTTGTGTTTCGCAGTTTTCGTGGGCCTTTTTGCGTTTTTTACAATTACATATAAGGGAAGTAACTTTATGTCCTAAGATAACCTTTCATTAATCATGAATTTACATAACTTCCGTCCAGGGGGACCGGTACCCCAGCTAGTTTACAATAACTTTATTA